CGTCGTACAAGGTCGTAGCACTCTTGTACTGACTAAAGTGTGCACGCTCAGCGGTAGGCAAGTGGCGGCGCACAGCAAGACGGGCAGCAGCGTCGCGTGTGGCCCACTGTGAGCGAACAGTGGCGTCAGCATCAGCAGCAGGGGCAGAAGAGGCACCAGAAGTGAGGTCAAAGAGAGAGAGACCGTCTGCCCTGTCGCACTGTAGGAAAAGCTGCAGGTCATCTACCCAGACGTCAAAGTCAATGGCCCGACCCTCAGCGTCAAAAGCGAGGACACTGGGGGTAGCCATGACAGCAGTAGACTAGCAGCTGGAGCAGTAGGGTAAGGGCAGCGCAGTGGTAGAGGTGCCGCTCTTACCGGACAGGGCGGCTCGGGCGGCTCGGCAGCAACTGCAGCTCGGCGGCTCGGCGACTCGGCGGCTCGGGCGGCTCGGCGGCTCGGCGGCACGGCGGCTCGGCAGCAACTGGAGCTCGGCGGCTCGGCGACTCGGCGGCTCGGGCGGCTCAGGTGGCTCGGCGGCTCGGGCGGCTCGGGTGGCTCGGGCGGCTCGGCAGCAGCGGCGGCTCGGTAGATCGGCGGCTCAGCGGCGCCGGCGGCTCGGTGGTGACGGCGGGGCCGCGTGGGGACGGCGGCGGGGCCAGGTGGGGCGGCGACGAGGCCGCTGAGGGCGGCGGCGGGGCCACGAAGGGTGGCGACCGGCGCCTTAAGGGTGGGGCCGCGGGGTCGCAAGGGTGGGGCGACGGGGCCAACAGAGGCGGCGCCGGGGCCGGGAAGGGCGGCGCCGGGGCCGGGAAGGGCGGCGCCGGGGCCGGGAAGGGTGGCGCCGGGGCCGCAAGGGTAGGCGACGGGGCCGCGAGGGCGGCGTGGAGGGGTCGCGAGGGCGGCTCGAGGAGGCCGCGAGGGCGGCGCGAAAGGGCCGCGAGGGCGGCGCGAAAGGGCCGCGAGGGTGGCGCGACGCGACGGGACCGCGAGGGCGGCGCGACGGGGTCGCAAGGGCGACACGACGGGGCCGCTAGGGAGGCGCGACGCGACGGGGCCGCTGAGGCGGCGCGACGGGGTCGTAAGGGCGGCGCGACGGGGCCGTGAGAGGGGAGCGCGACTCGGGCAGAGGCTGAGCGCGCTCCGGGTAGGAAAAAAAAGTTGGTGGGCCCTAGGAACAGTTCCCACAGGGGAACCTGCTCTATACCATGTGAAAATGAACGAGGAATGAAAAGGCTAAGGGAAAGTTGGGTACAAGTACAAACCCTAGAAAGCTGTACCCCATATGTGCTACCCCACTATAGCCTACAGCAGCTAAGTCATATAAATCTGACACCGTAGGGGCGGCGAGCGGGCCGCAAGGGGCGGCGCGCTGGGCTGCAGGGGCGGTGCGCGGGCCGCAAGGGGCGGCGAGCGGGCTGCAAGGGGCGGCGCTCGGGGCTGCAAGGGCGGCGCGCGGGGCTGCAGGGGCGGCGCACGAGGTTGCAGAGGCGGCGCGCGAGCTGCAGAGGCAGCGCGCGGTGCTGCAGGGGCGGCGCGCGGGGCTGCAGGGGCGGCGTGCGGGCTGCAAGGGCGGCGCTACGGGCTGCAAAGGGTGGCGCGTGGGCCAGCAGGGCGGCGCGCTGTTAGGGCAGGGCGACAGGGCAGTGAGTGGGGCAGCTCTGTGGTGGGCCCTAAAAAAAAACGGTCCTAGGGAAGGATGTGCTCTGAAACCATGTCAGAATACTGAACGAGAATGAATCAATTATGAAAGAGTTGGGTACAAGTACTAACCCTTATTGGGTTGTACCCCTTATGGGCTGTCCCACTATAGCCTACACTAAGTAAGCAATATAACATTTTGATAGTTCAGTGCGTGTCTGTAAACAGAGATAAACGGGGATCGAGAGGGGTAGTCGTAAACAACTAGACGAGGCATCGACCATCTGCAGCAATGAACTAGTCGCACACGATGGTAAACTGCCGGGAAAATCGGTTCACCAAATAGCACCTCATAAACAATAAAAAACTATCAGCCTCCAACCCCCCTCCCCACCCCCCCTCCATTCTCGGCAGTTTCACATTTTTCTTATGGCTTGATTGGGTAGCATTTCGCTACCCTCGCTATCAGCTGTGTATCCGCGGACCAGCACCCAGCATGCCTACTTGGGGGGCTCGTTGGCCTTCTGAACCCCCTTGTTCTCGCGCTATTTCAGGGGGGTGTCAGGGTGAACCCCCTTGATCTCGCTCGCTCGCAATGCAACGTGCATGATGCAGTTCGGGCTGACTCTTGTGGGGTCGTAGGTGTTCAGCAAGGTATCGTCGAATACTTCAGTGCCCCTTTCTGACGGCCGCCAGCTATTTCGTATCTGTTCACATTCACTGCTGTTCATTAGTGCTGTTACCCTCTCCTCTCACACCTACTACAGTAGTAGTAGCTGATTCGCCATCCCAACGATGGCGACGAAGATAACGGATGACGACTTCCAGAGCCGTGTTCTGGACAACAAGCTTCCCTCTCTCGTTTTTTTTCTACGCTCCATGGTCCGGTCTTTGCAGGATGATGGATCCCTTGATTGATCAGGTCGCCGGACAATTTTCAGGAAGGGCCTCCTGTTTCAAGATGGACATGGACGAATGTCCCAATACGTCGGCCGAATATGGCGTGCGAAGCCTTCCCACTGTGAAAATCTTCAAGGCTGGGCGTGAGCAAAAAACGCTCATTGGTGCGGTGAATGATTTGACCCTGCACAGAGCCCTCGATGATGTCATATGAGGTGTTTCATCCTCTGCTGCCTTCACTTGAGATGACGATACATTTCAAGCTGTCTGGGGTTTAGGGTTTGTCATCTCCCTGTGCTGTGCTGATTAAAACTGAAAATGTAACTGATTAATTTTTGTGCAGAAGGGCACAGTACATTTGGGCTCAATATAGCCCTTTAATCATTCTCAGGGTACAAACGTTAAACTCTTTTACAATGATTATACATGGTCCATTGCGATTGAACACATTTTTAACGGAATGTTCTGCTCCCTAATTTCCTGCTGCTGTGGTGGAAGGGAAGGTCCGGCAGCGGTCAATATTCTTTTGTTTAAAAAGGTTAGGCAGGAATTATTGAAATGAAATAATGGAAATTACAGAAATTTCAGTATGTACCTTACAATCTAGAGTGGCTCATTTTCCGTCTAGCGCGCTTGTGTTGTGAGTCTGTTCTGATGTGTGATACGCACATATCGAGATTCTAGATGTTGCAACTAACCAAGCTTGTGGGAGGCTCCCACCCATTTTGAGCCTCTACCGTCCCGTGTTCTTGGGATCTTTATCACACGTGGGAGTCAGTAAGTGGTGACATAACAAGAATGTGGGACCACCTTGTGATTGGTTAGCATACTTTCACTCCTGCATCTTCGCAAATGCTCTTAGTTCGGCACTCAGCTCCCGAAAACATTGGAAGCAGACTGATTTGTCAGATGATTCCCGAACGTTACAGCGTCACAAACAATCTCGTAAGTCTTCGCTCATGAAGGTTTCTTCTGTCTTCCTTCCAAGAGCACCAGCAATCCTCCCTCAGCTTCTCTTGGTCGTTTGGGAGCCTCGCGAGTCTCCCGTGCTCAACCAAGAAATGAGCCTTTGCAACCCCAGATGTGGCTCTAGTTGCCACACAGAACTTCTCAGTGCCAACAAAAGGAAGCAACACCTACAGATTGGTTCCCAATCGGAGCTAGTTTTTGTTCACGCATGAGCCTCGCACGATTGTTGTGGGTTTAAGGCGACGTGTCTAGCGGGTTAGCGTTTGTATCAAACGCCGTCGTTGTCTTGACAGTTGGTTCGTAGGAGTGGGACTTTCGTGTTAGAGATGGTTATCCACGTTCGTTCTTGAATCCAGCTGAACGCGTCCGTTTTTCCGCCTTTTACTGGTAAAATATGAAGTCGATAGGATGTTTAACGCACGAACTTGTATTTCTTAGTTTCAAGTTGTGAGTCGTATTCCGTTCGTCCGAACCCAATACCGATACAGCATGGAGGCCAGAGCCGTTTGTTTTCGTCCAAGTAGTGTTCATGTAGAACCGACTGGATTGAACAGTGTGCAACATAGATCTGCTTCTGTGAGAAGGATCTCGTGGGCTCGAAGCTCGACGCTGTTCTCTCTCCGTCACAACAGATATAGAGAGAGACGAGAGTCGATCACCAGGTAAGGCCACATTTTTTTTTTTTTTTTTTTTCAAGTCCAGGGAAACGGTGCCCAATGCATGTTAATATTTCAGTTGAAAACGTACCGTCTCGCTGTAGTTTCAATGTTGCAAGTGTTAGGTTTCAGTGTGGTAACGTTGGACCGATCGAATGAAAGTCTGGTTTTTTCAGATTCCTGATGTTTGTCACCTCCTTCCGTGTTTCCTCGCGCCTTCTTTCTTGATCCATTGTTTCGATCAGGGTGTTTGCATCCTCTTCGACCCCTCCCGATTTCTCGGCACGATCATCAAGCGGAGATTTTAAGAGCAGCAACAGTGGCAAAACGCGTGGAGAAAGCAACAGAGGCGATAACGCAGATGGCTCCACGAAAGATCAGCATGATGATCCGAAACCTTCTACTCCCCTGAATCCTCCTTCTGTCGGTCCGTCTCCATCTGCCAGCAAATCGTCTCCCTCCTCTCAACCGTCATCACCGGCAGCCAATCCGCCATCAGCACCCTCAGTTGGCCAATCAGGCTCCGCGTCGTCAAACCCTTCCGCGTTCTCCAGCAGGCCTCAGTCTTCGAAACAGGATAAAATACCACGCCCGGGTAAAAGCGGTCCGGGCCAAGGAGGCGTGGTTAAAACCAGCACACAGTATCGATTGGTAGACGATGGTAGTATGAAGGAGTATAACCGATCTTCCAATGGAGGAGCAGCCAACTTTCCTGTAGCCGTTGTAGGTTCGGCGATTCCCCCTTCGAGACCGTTTTCGAACCCTCCCCCGTTTCGGCCTCCTCCTAGTCCAGTAGCCGGGATTGACATGCAGCTAAGACAGCAGCAAGAGCAGGGACAGCGACCGAAACCCGCAATGGACTCCGAATGGATAAACTTCATGTCCCCGGACTGGTATCCAGTCAAGCCGATCTGGCAGGTGCGTTGAGTCTGTCGTGACACTTCCGTGTGAAGTTATCTGTTGTAGAGCGTGATCTACATACAGGTGTCTGATGGTACTTTTTGATGGATCTGCTGATGTCACAGGGTACTGAGCAGTGCGTTTTGGAGCAAAAGGACTTGCTCCTCTCGCTTCCCCGTCTTTGGAGAATGATGCTGCTCAGCGATGGGTCAGTTACACGCCATTTGGAGCTCTTGCTTGGGGAGCAAGTCACTGTAGATTGTGTGGAGATGCGGGGGATTGGTCATGCTCTCCTGGGCTTGCCACCTGGCACAGCGCTGGTGCCGGGACCACGAGTTCAGAGACAGGTGACGCAGCAGAATTAGACCCACGTGTTGTAACCCCTTCATCCCTTTCTTATGCAGCCGTTTGTGCCCCTTATCTTGCACACCCGTCACGTCACCACCGCCATCGCATTACATAACAGTTAATAGCTGGAATGCCTTTTTGGCATAACCATGTGTACCTACTCTACGTCCTGCTGCTGCTGATTTCATGACTCTGGCAGGTCCATCTGAAGCCTCCGTCTGGGGAGGTGTTGGTGTATGCTGCTTCATGGTGGGCAGCAGAGGAGGTGAAGACAGCACTACCAGCTGTGCAGCAGCCTGTATGGAAGACCCTGCAGCAGCAGAGGACAGAACTCTTTCGCTCACTGGAGCGACTGTATTATGGGTCCTCTCCTCATCTAGAAAGGTGAGTACTGTTTGTGCTTGTTTTGGTTGTACACTGTCAGCTCCTCTTAAACCAGTTTTGCATTGTGTAAATGGTTTTTAGCTCAAAGTTTGGTGTGGTTGTAGGTTGTGGACTGAAATCCACCTTTTCCCTGTTTCTTTCTTGGCTCCTTCCAGAATATTTGGAGTACCAGGACCTTTCTGGGCTAGGCACTATTTCTTTTATAGTCACGGTCGCCCGCTTACCCTCATCTACGAAGCTTTTTCTCCTCGTTTGGATGCTGTTCTAGGAGACAGCAGGTCACCCAACCTTCCACCTCATATGTGACCCTGCGAACAAAATCGGCATTTAGGGGTTATTTGCGCTACTGTAGCAAATAACACACAAATTGTTGCTTGTACGTGGTGATGTTAAACGTTTTATAAAAAAGAGTGACGAATGAGCGCCGCATCTTGACATGGGCTCACTAGAGAACCAGAATGAAGTTAGGCTCCAGTGTATTAGTTTTTTATACAGAATTGATGACTGGATGTACTCGCTTTATAGTGAAATGCATCCTTCTAAGACAAAGAAAGTATTTGTTTTTTATGCTGTCAAATTCGAGCACACATGCAGTGTAGTTGTTTTCTGCTTGTTCTTTCGGTCATCTACCGAAAGTGCATGACGTTTTTGTCAACAAAATACCTCCCACCTACCTCGCTCGATTCCAGTAGAACTGCGAGTCGCGACGAAGCCACAAGTGTGGAATGATCATCGAGGGTCTCTCCCTCTGTTCCTGACGCACATACATGAAAAAATGGTTCTGCAATGCGTTGATTGCTGATGCGCTTTATTCGAAGAATCGTGCTAGTATTCGCTCCCACCCCGATCAAATTTGCAAACCCTCCGCTCAACTCCACTGGTGCAGTTTATTCAACAAGCCTTCCTTTAGTGGACCATTCGTTAGTGTGGATAACCTTTCGTGTAGGCTACTACCACGACTGGACCGAGCCGGGCCGAACATTTGCGTGCCAAAGCCACATTGCACCGCATCCCACATGATCACATAATAATGGCTCCTCACCACACCCTCAGCGAGTCACGCTGCCGGGTTTCTCCAAACGCGCGTCATTCCGGCTTCGCAGCCTTGGGAATGTCGCGGCTTGTAACCCCACTCGTGGAGCTGACGCTGCTGACGCTGCTGGCAGCGGTAGTCCCGAGGCCGACTTTCGCCGCTTCTCGGTACGCGTGCGGGAGAGCTTGCGGTTGGTGATTCTCATGTGTGCAGCGGGTGTAGGGGTGGTGATTTTTGACTCAAAAGCCTTCTCGGTACGCGTGCAGCGAGGTGCAGTGTGGTGAAGTGTGGTGTGGTGTGCTACAGTGTGGGCTTCGAGTTGTGATAATGCTGTCTTTTTGGGCTCTTCCAATGAGGGGGTCTTACTGTGGAGGATGCAACCGGTCTTACTGTGGGGGTCTTATTAGGCGGTTTTTGAGAATTCTCAAAGAACGCCTCATACAAGTGGCTTCAGGGATAGCCGTAACAGGGGGGGAAAGGATTAGACGACACGCTGGTACGCTCTTAAGTCGACTCTTCCCTGCCGCTTGCAATCACGACCTCTCCTCCACCCACACCCTTCGGCACCTTCCCCACCCCTTTTCCCTTACTCCCTTCGTTCCCCGATCTTTCCCTCCCTCCTTCACCCCTCTCCCCGCTCCCTTCCCCACTTTCCCACCTCTTCATGTCTCTTCACCCCTCCCCACCCCTCCTCACCCCTCTCCACCTCCCCTAGTCACGATGGAGTGCTGCAGTGCCCTGCCAACAACAGCAGCGCGGGCGACCTCGTCCTCCCAGCACTAGAGGCAGGCGCCGTCGCTGCAGGCACGGTGCCTTGCCTCTCTCCACCCCTCTTCACCGCTCGTCACACTCTCTTCACCTGATTACACCCCACTCTACCCCTTCAGGCACGACGGAGTGCTGCAGTGCCCTGCCGACAACAGCACGGGCGACCTCTTCCTCCCAGCCCTAGAGGCAGGCGCGGTCGCTGCAGGCACCGTTCTTGCCTCTCTTCACCGCTCGTCACACTCTCGTCACCTGATTACACCCCTCTCTACCCCTTCAGGCACGATGGAGTGCTGCAGTGCCCTGCCGACAACAGCACGGGCGACCTCTTCTTGCCAGCACTAGAAGCAGGCGCTGTTGCTGCAGGCACCGTGCCTTGGCACACCACCAGGGGGAAGTTCCTGCTGCTGCACTGCGTCCGAGGGCAGGTGGGTGGGTGCTGGGGAAGGCTGGTATCAGGGCAGGTGGGTGCAAGTATTGAAGGGCAGGGCAGGTTCCGTGCCTGCTGGGGAAGGTGGGCACCGTGCCTTGGCACACTACCAGGGGTGCACTGCGTCCGAGGGCAGGTGGGTACTGGGGAAGGCTGATATCAGGGAAGGTGGGCACTGGGGAAGGTTGGTATCAGGGCAGCTGCAGGTGTTGAAAGGGAGGCACCATGGCTTGGCGGACCACCAGGGGGAAGTTCCGGCTGCTGCACTGTGTTAGAGGGCAGGTGGGTTCTAAGGAAGGTGAGTACTGGGGAAGGTAGGTAGGTGGGCACGGATGCCTTGGCGGACCACCAGGGGGGAGTTCCGGCTGCTGCACTGCGTTAGAGGGAAGGTGGGTACTGGGAAAGGTGGGTGCTGCTGGGGACGGTGGGTGCTGGGGAAGGTGGTTGCTGGGTAAGGTGGTTGCTGGGTAAGGTGGTTGCTGGGTAAGGTGGTTGCTGGGTAAGGTGGTTGTTGGGTAAGGTGGTTGCTGGGTAAGGTGGTTGCTGCTGGGGAAGGTGGGCGGATGCTGCTTCCCCACCCTGCTCTCTCTCCCGCCCCTCTCTGTCCCCTCTGCCCCCTCCTTCCTCACTCCTTCCAATCTTCAACCCCCCCACCCCACCACCCTCTCCGCTCCACCCTACCCTTCCAACAGATCAGCAACCGGGTTCTCTGCATAAAAAACCATCTCCTCCTAGCCGGCCTGCTCGGCCGCACGCTCATAGTGCCCTTCCATCTCTCGGAGGTCGTCCGCAACTACAACATGCACATGGCTCTCTTTCCCTCCCCTCCTCTCCCCTCCTCCCCCATCCACCACACACCAGATCAGCAACCGGGTGCTCTGCATAAAGAACCACCTCCTGTTAGCCGGCCTTCTCTCCCGCACGCTCATCGTGCCTTTCCACCACTCAGAGGTGGTCCGCAACTACAACATGCACGTGGCTCTCGACGTGGAGCACCTCCGCCGCTGCTTCGGCAAGGTGGTCTTCACCACAGCAGAGTACCGGAGGAAATACGTGAAGCCGATCAATGTCACGGAGGTGGTGTGCTGGCACGGCCCCAAGGGCGCGTGCAGGGAGGAGGACAAGGAGCTGCTGTTGAATTGCCCCGCCCCTGAGACCATGAACACGCCAGCTTCCGTGCTGGTTGGGGGCGACGGAGAGGCGTTGAGAAAGGTACGTGCGTACGTACGTGGAAGTCATTCAAGGTATCTGTGGCTTGTTTGAGGTGTGTTGGGCTCGCGTCAGAGGTGGTGTGTTTCAGCACCACAGAAAGTACCGGAGGAAATACGTGAAGCCGACCAATGTGACGGAGGTGGTGTGCTGGCACGGCCCCAAGGGCGCGTGCAGGGAGGAGGACAAGGAGCTGCTGCTGAATTGCCCCGCCCCTGAGATCATGAACACACCGGCTTCCGTGCTCGTTGGTGGGGATGGAGAGGCCTTGAGAAAGGTACAGTGGTGGGTGTGACTCAGTCAAGTCATCTGAGGCTCATTCGGGGTTTGTGGGGCCCGCATTTGAGGTGTGCTCACCACAGCACAGTAGAGTATCGGTGCAAGTATGTGAAGCCGATCAATGTCACGAAGGTGGTGGGCTGGCTCAGGGGCTCTCCTAATATTGATTAGCAAGCTGCGGTTAGTGTTCAACACGTGGAGTGTCACAAAATCTAATGGTAAGTGCATCATATTCAGGACATATGCTAATTGGGGTGTAGAAGTGCTGTAGCAACTGTTATTCAATCTATAAGGGAGGTAGTTGGGGTATTGGGAGAAGCGAAGGGTTGGTGGCATTGGGTGTTTCAGGGCGCTGCGGGTGCAATTCCAGGGACATTGGGTGGCAGGAAATCTGGCGAGGGCCAATCAAGGCCCAGGCGGCTCGAGCTCAACCCATCACGCAGAAAATTGCGCGACTGGGTAGACAGGCACAAGTAGCCTAGCCTAGCAAAGCAATCCTGTTCTCTCGACTTGTTTACCTGTCATAGTGGATTTCGGTTACCGTACTCAAGCTATTGCAGCTAAGTGACTAAGCCACTCCTGGTAGCCATCATGTGGGAGCCCGGGACTCTCACAAGTCGCTGAGAAAGCATAGACCGTACAAGGTGTGGGAAAGCAGGGCTGGAGGGAAGATAAGCGAATGAGAACAGAAGACAGAGAAGACAGGAGAAGAGGAAAGGGGCCCAGATCTACTCCTCTCCCGCCCAGATCTACTCCTCCTACGCTCAGATCTACTCCTCCTGCACCCAGATCTGCACATCTCGTTACCAGATCTGCATTCCGCGCATCCAGATCTGCACTCCGCGCGACCAGATCTGCATTCCGCGCATCCAAATCTGCGCTCTGCGCGCCCAGATCTGCATACCTCGCGACCAGATCTGCACCCAGATCCACTCCTCCCGCGCTCGGATCTGCCACAGGGCTGCCCTCCTCGTCCCTACCCACGGCGGCATCATCAGCGGCATCTGCAGCGACGCCAACAGCAACACCCTTCCCCCTGCCTCCCCCATAACATCGCTCCCCCCTCCTCCTCCTCCTCCACCTTCCCCCACCTTCTGCTCCTCCCTTCCTCCTCCCATCCTACCAGCAGCAGGACCAGCAGCGGCACCAGCAGCAGGACCAGCAGCGGCACTAGCAGCAGGATCAGCAGCGGCACCAGCTGCAGGACCAGCAGCGGCACCAGCAGCAGGACCAGCAGTGGCACCAGCAGCAGGACCAGCAGCGGCACCAGCACCAGGACCAGCAGCGGCACCAGTAGCAGGACCAGCAGCGTCACCAGCAGCAGTACCCTCGCCCCATCCTCCTCCTGCCCTTGTTTCCACCCACCCTTGTCTCTATGGCATCGTCGGATTCTTCCGTCGACCTTGCTACTGTTGATGCACTCGAGTTGCTACCCGACAACACTGCTGCTGATTGGCACTCCTATGTTGAAGGAGAGAATTGATGAATTGAATAATGAGCCAAGAGGCCCTTTAGTACAAACAATGAGCAAGAGAGAGATGAGAGAGAAGCTCACCCTATTGGTCAATATGTTGACCAATGGGTGAGCTTGCTTGTGGCCCAAGCAACCACAAATGTGTGTTGGTTGGGATTGGTTGAGTTAAGGACCAATCCCAACCAACCACAAAATGTGGTTGGAGGGTACACTAAACAACCCCCCAATTTATAAATGTGCTACACATCTAATTCTAGCCTATGTATGTTGTATAAAATATGAAATTACAACACAACCCCCAAACATGCGTAAGGGTAGAAGGCCAGAATCAAGAGGCGGGAGGCGACTTAGGAGGAGTGAGGCCAAGGAGATGAAGTAGTGAAGAGTGAGCCGCATGAGGAAGAGCTTTTGTGAAGATGTTGGCAAGGTTGGTCGCTGAGTCAATCTTGTCGAGCCGAAGGTGCCCCGCCTGAACAAGATCGCGAATGAAGAAATGACGGAGCTCAATGTGCTTGGAGCGCCCGTGAAACACAGCATCCTTAGTGAGGTGAATGGTACTGGCATTGCCACACCAGATGGTGGGACAGTGTTGGGGGGCACCAAGTTCCTCAAGAAGGAAGGTGAGCCAGCGGGCCTCTTGCGCAGCCATGGTAGCGGCATACGACTCCGCCTCGCAGGAGGAGAGGGCGATAGCCGAGGAGCAGGTGGAGAGCCAGCTGATAAGGCCGCTGCCAAGAGAGAAGCCATAGCCCTGGGAGGAGCGATGATCCGACCGAGAATCAGCCCAGGAGGAGTCACTGTAGCCGCTGAGGAGAGGTGGGGAGGGGCCGCCAAGGGTAAGGACATAGTCCTTGGTGCCACGAAGGTACCGGAGGACACGCTTGGCGGCCAGTGCTCTTCCGTATGTTTGCCTGCGCCAACAAAACGAGCGAGGACGCTGATGGGGTAGGCAAGGTTAGGGCGAGTGGAGACCATGGCGTACATGAGGGAGCCGACGAGCTCGGGATAAGGATGGGAGGAGGTTGAGGGGGAGGTGGGTGGAGAGAGGTGGTGCTCGACAGAAAGAGGAGTATGTTAGGCACCGCCCCGGGCCATGTCAAACCGCTCCAAGACCTGCTGCAAGTAATGACCCTGGGAGAGAGAGATGGTGCGGGCGGAGCGATCGCGGGTGATGGTCATGCCCAGGTAATGCTGCAGCTCTCCCAAGTCCTTGCACTTGAGACGGCTACCCAACTCAGCCTTAACACACTCCAACTCAGCAAGGTCGGCGGTGAGCAGAATCATGTCATCGACATACACAAGGATGTAGAAAGGGGAGGGGGAGGCGCGGAGGAAGAGGCTGGCGTCGGAGCGGGAGGTGCGAAACCCAAGTTTAGCAAGGGTGGCGGCAAGCTTAGCATGCCACTCCCTAGGGGTCTGTCGGAGCCCATAGACAGGTCGACGCAGCTGCCAGACAGAGTTAGCTGGGAAGGGAAGGTGAAAGCCGGCTGGACGCTCCATGTAGATGAGCTCGCGGAGAACGCCTTGCAGAAAGGTGTTAGAAACGTCCATCGAGTGGATCTCCATATTCAGGCGAGCGGCGAGGTCGAGCACGGCTCGAACGGTAGTAGGTTTGGCGGTAGGGGAGAAGGTATCGAAGAAGTCAACAGCATACCGCTACGTGAAAACCTTGGCACAGTAACGAGCCTTGTAGACGGGCGGCTCCCCTGGCAGCTGCTTGACGCGAAACACCCACTTCCCCTTCACCACGTTCGTAGAGGCGGGAGGGCGAGGCACATCAACGAAGGAGGAGTTGGTGATAAAGGCACCCAACTCCTTGATAATGGCGGGGAGCCAGAGAGGGGCGTCGGGGCAAGCCATTGCCTCCGCATACGTGGTAGGGATGAAAATGGAGGGAGCGGAGGAGAAGGCGAAGACCGGTGTGCCGGAGAGGTCGAATGTGATGGGTAGAAGCGAGGGGTTACAGAGGTAGAGGTCAAGGAACTCCTCATGGGAGTCCTCGGAGAGGGAGGTGTAGAAGGCGGGGATGGCTGCTGGTGCTGCTGCTGGTGCCGCTGCTGGTGCCGATGCTGGTGCCGCTGCTGGTGCCGCTGCTGGTGCCGCTGTTGGTGCCGCTGCTGGTGCCGCTGCTGGTGCCGTTGCTGGTGCCGCTGCTGGTCCTGCTGCTGGTGCCGCTGCTGGTCCTGCTGCTGGTGCCACTGCTGGTCCTGCTGCTGGTCCTAGTGCTGGTGCAGCTGCTGGTGCCATTACAGACGCTGCTGCTGGTGAGGGAGAGGAGGCAGAGGGGGCTGCTGCAGGAGGAGGTTGATGCAAGACAGCCTGGAAGAAGTGGTGAAGGAGAGGGGAGAGAGGGGGGAGGGTAGAGGAAGAGAGGGTAACAGGGGGCAGTGCACCAAGGATACCGTCACGTGACCTGGTATGGGGTTACCGGGTAAGTACGGTGCGGGGAGGAGGGGAAGGACGGGTCGGTGGCGAGGGAGGGGAGAGGAGGGGGGGAGGGGCACGGGGAGAGGAATGTGTGGGGGAGACCGGAGAGGACAGAGGTTCCGGGTCAAAGATATCACCAGACGAGGGAGGGGCACCGTGGGACGGGGACGACGAAGGGGGGGGAGGCGGGAGGATGGGGGGAGGAGGGAGTAATGGGGGAGGGGTGGCGTCAGACCAGACAAAGGGATGGGTGAGAGGGGGGAGTGGGTCAGTGGATGGGGGAGAGGAGTAATAGGGAGTGGACTCATCAAAGACCACATCCCTACTGCGGACTAGACGACCTGAGGGGGGATGGAGGAAAAGGTAGTCAGGTGAGGTAGGGTTATGACCAAGGAAGATGCAGGGAAGGGTGCGAGGGGCAAGCTTTCCCATGGAACAGGAGCGGTCAGAGGGATGAATAAGTACATATGCCTTTGAGCCCCAGACACGAAGAGATGAGACATCAGGCTTGTCCTTTGTCCACAGCTCAGTGGGGGTGGTGGACGGGAGAGGGGGGTGAGGGTAAAGGTTAGTAAGGAGGGCGGCATGAAAGAGGGCTAAGCCCCACAGAGAAGGGGGGCAGGAGGCGCGGATAAGAAGACACCGGGCTATTTTGGTGATCTCTCGAACACGACTCTCAGCCACACCGTTCTGCTGTGGGGAGTGAGGGAGGGTGTAAGTCCGAAGAATGCCACGAGACTGACAATAGGAGGAGACTTGGTTGTTAAGGAACTCACCACCACCATCAGAGTGAAGGCGGCGAACAGGGCGCCCAAAATGGGTGTTTGCCCGCTCGAGTCAGGCGATGATCGCAGCCGGGGCGTCCGCCTTCGTCCGAAAGAGAGAGACGGACGAGTACTGACTGTGATCATCAACGAGCACGAGAAGGTAGCGATGACCCTGGCGAGTGGGAGAGGGATTAGGGCCCCAGAGGTCCACGTGAACTAGATCAAGTAGCTGTGCAGCAGCGGAGGGGGAGCTCCGGTGCGGCTGCTGCTTGAGCTTGCTCTGAACGCAGACAGTGCAAGGGGGGGCAGGGGATTTGGGGAGGGGAGGGAGGGAGGAGGGGAGACCGTGGAGGATACCGGAGGAGACAAAGGAGCGCAGAGTAGCAAAGTAAGGGTGACCTAGCCTGTGATGGAGGAGGATGGTAGGGTGGGAGAGGGAGCGACAGGAACAGTCAGAGTCAGGGGGTTGGGGAGGGAGGGGTGGGTTAGTGGGAGGGAGGGGAGGGGGGGGAGGAGAGAGGGAGAGGCGACTTGGCAGGTGGGGGGGCGGGGAAGCCGAAGGGTGTACAGACGGGAACGAGGACAGAAGGGAATACGAGAGAGGAGACCTGTAGCAGTATTGTAAAGGGCACAGTAGTTAGCACCACCTGGGAAGAGAGTGGTGATATTGGCTTGTTGGAGGGACCTTTGGGAGAGGAGGTTAGTGCGTAGGGAGGGAATGTGGAGACCGGTGACAGTACCTGGGGGAAAGAGAGGACAAAGAAGGGTGGAAGTGTTGTGACAGGGGATAGAAAAACTGCTATCAGCACCGAGGAGGGAGGTGGGTATGGGGAGAGGGCGCAATGTACTAGCATCACGAAGGACAGTGTCAGTGGCCCCACTGTCCAGGACGAAGTCAAGGGTGGAGGAGGGTGAGGCAAAGTACTGGAACGAAGTTTCAGGTTGACCTAGCAAACCGACAAAACCAGAAGAGGGGAAAGCGGTCACACTGCCACCTGCAGACGGCTCTGGAGATGCACCCGAGAGATGGGCTGTGGAGGCAGCACTCCCGGCAGTCCAGGTAGGAAAGGGCTGCTGCTGGGAAACGGGAGGAGGAGGGAGGAGGGGCAGCTGCGGCTGTAGGTCGAGCTGCTGCTGGAGATGCTGGAGCTTCTACTGGAGTTGAGAAAGGAGAAGATGCTGCCCATACTGCTGTAACCCCTGCTGCTGACTCCCAAGCTGCTGCTGCTGCTGCTGCTGCTGGGGAGGGGCAAGGGCCTGGTGGGCCTGGGTGGAGGAGGAAGGCTCATAGAGGGTAGAGGAACGGACTTCAAGGGGAGTGGGGCGTGGGTTGAGGGCAGACCAGCGAGGAGGGGTGCCGGTGTTGCCACGGGCAAACCACTCATCACTGAGTGCCTTGAAGCGTGTTTCTGTGGCATGAGTGGTTTGGCCGCAGCGCTGTCCCTGAGTGGGACCGTAGCGAGGCAGGTACTGACAGGGAGGAAAGGCAGCTGCCGCACCGCGACCCGCACCACCGCTACCACTGCCACCGCGACCTGGTGATCCGCCTCGTCCACCCCCACGCCCACCACCACACCCACCCCCACGCCCACCGCCACGCCCACTCCTGCTGCTGCGCGGCTGAGCTACTGCGACTGTGGAGGTAGAGTGGCGAATGATCTCGGCTTCGGTGGTGATAATCCACTGAGCGACTTCAGCAGGGGTATGGTGCTTGGAGAGAAGCTGCATGTAGGCAAGCTTGTGAGCGTCGAAGGCAGGTGTGAAGCCCTCGAGGAGGTGGCAGCAGATGACAGTGTCCGGGTACACCACATCGAGTGCCGCAAGGCGCCGAGCAAGGTCTAGGACACGGCGAGTGAAGGCAGCGGCGCCAAAAGTGGAGTGCATGGAGAGAGTGCCGAATTCTTTGATGAGGGCGTAGAGGGTGGCAACGTCTTGCCGATCGAAAAGGTCGACGAGGATTCGCCACAAGTGGGAGGAGGATGTAGGTGAGAGCTCGCGTTTGAGGGAGGAGGGGACGGTGGCAAGAAGAATGGCAAGCGCGCGCCGATCGGCAACTCGCCAGGCAGTGATTTTCGTGGTGTAGTCGGCAATGTCTGCGGTGTAGCTGTCAAGTGTTAGAAATAATCAGTCAACACTTTGTACTATATTCTATATCGGTTAGGTTACTTTGTAGGTTGGGTGTAGATTTGTAATCCCAATCCTATCTGGTTGGGATTCCCTCGTAATGCAAATCTGCCAACTCACAAATTGGAGATTTGCTATGATTCCCATCCCACCCTTTCCCTAGCTTTGCTCAACCCAACCCTGTTTGTACTTAAGGCCTAGTGCCTTCCTTATCAAGCAATCAGTTCAGTTCCAATTCTATCATGGTATCGAGCTAGTAAATTCCGCTCACGCGGAATCCGATCCTTGGCGTCCCGATGGTTCTCTCCTTTTAGGCTATGTCTATTTCGGTTCCCGGCTCCTACGCTTAGCGTTTTTCAGAAGCTTCACATCGTCGCTCCGGTCAAGCGCGCATTCGGCTTCCTTCGTCGCGCATCTCGTTTTTCAACAGCGACATTCTCAGCTTTCGACTTCCTTCATCGTAAGCTTCTGGTTTTTATATCTCCGTGGCAATTTTCGCATCTTCTTAACTTCGAACAGGTTTTCAGCGGCGCAGCGGAACAGGTCCAGCGGCGCAGCGGAACAGGTTTTCAGCGGCGCAGCGGAACAAGTCCAGCGGTGCAGCGGAACAGGTTTTCAGCGGCGCAGCGGAACAGGTCCAGCGGCGCAGCGGAACAGGTTCAGCGGCGCAGCGGAACAGGTTCAGCGGCGCAGCGGAACAGGTTCAGCGGCGCAGCGGAACAGGTTCAGCGGCGCAGCAGAACAGGTTCAGCGGCGCAGCAGAACAGGTCCAGCGGCGCAGCAGAACAGGTCAGCGGCGCAGCAGAACAGGTCAACGGCGCAGCAGAGAAGCGGAACAGGGGCAGCAGCGAAGCAGAACAGGGGGCACTGGCGAAGCAGTATATCAGGGTATAGTACGGGCATTCTATTGCCAAAATCACGTTTCGAACTTCCTCAATTTCCAAAATCACCCGAACTCCGCTCCGCTACGTATCGGAGACTTTAGCGCTGCGCTCCACGCGAAATGGCAACTTCAACTTCCACTCTCGTCGGAAACCTCATCATCCTTAACCTCGCTCCCAACGGCACGAGCACCAATTTCGGGGAGTGGTGCTATGGAGTGGAGAAGCACCTCCTTAGCTCGGAGCTCAAGGGGATTTGCCTCAAGGACATCCTCCTCAATCGCGGCAAGGGGAAGATGCCTCTCCCTCCCGATCCTCTCGGCGAAGGCGCCACTGCCACAGCCAAGCTTGCTTTCGACGCTAAAACCACCAAATATGAGACGGACTTCAGTCTCTGGGAGCAGGCGGATGCGGCAGTGATTAGGGTTTTCATCACCACCACCCCAGTCGAGTTAGTCAAGTCCTACCGCACCTTCCGCTCTGCGCATGACATTTGGAAGTACCTCCAGGATCGCTTTCATGACAAAACTGCCGTGGGAGTTGCAATCCTCATTCCTCGCATGTTCCAAATCCGCCTTGAGGAATGCCCGGGCATGGCAGACTACATCTCTGAAATCCGCAACATCCATGAGGAGCTCAAGGACATTGGGATCACCTTCCCCGAACAGGCACCTGCTGCTGGGCTTCTCGTCGGACTCACCCCGGCCTACAACGTCACCAGTTCCATGCTCAAGCAGCTCCCCACCAAGGAACTCACCTTCGAGAAAGTCGCTTCGGCCCTTCTCTCTGCCGAAAAGGATTTTGCAGCCCAGGCATCCGTCAATGCTGTGCGCTACTCCCCTGGCATCCCATTTCGTTCCCAGCAGGGCCAGAGGCGCAACTCCTTTCCCCCATGCCAGTACCTCATTAGGAAGGGTCCACGTGCGGGGCAGAAATGCAACGGCACCAACCACCCTGAGGCAACTTGCTTCAAGAAGCGAGATGACGAGTGGTATGACGTCCACGGTGTCTCCAAGGACAAGCGCCCTCCCAACTGGGCACCACCCCGTCGCGTGAACCAGGTCGAGGCAGTGGAGGAACCTGCTCAGGCATTTGCTAGTGCCCCATCTGATGTTCGCCTTAACCTGTTGTTCTCTGGTGCTGGTCTTCTTAATGAGATAACATGGCATGGCATGGCATGGCATGGCATGGCATGGCATGGCATGGCGTAGTGTGGTATGGTTATGGCATGGTATGGTATTGTTATGGCATCACACCACATGGCAAGGAGCATGGCAGCGGCGGCAAGGAGCATGGCGGAGCACAAGGATGTTGCTCCCAAGGCAAAGAAGGGCGGGGGAGGGGGCATTTCAGGGTCGAGTATCCATGTGTCCAGGGAAGACCCCACTCTGAAATACGAACTGCTGGAGGATCTGGGTGAGTGTGAGGGATGGAGATGGGTGAGTGTGAGGGGTGGAGATGGGTGAGTGTGAGGGTAGAGAGGGGTTAGTGTGAGGGTAGAGATGGGTGAGTGACGGTAGAGATGGGTGAGTGTGAGGGTAGAGATGGGTGAGTGTGTGTGAGGCTCTCCACTAGTAAAATTTCTGAAGCGCCTAAAAAATGGACTGGGTGAGTGAGTGATGCCCCACTATTCATTGCGAGGCTGCAGTGTTGACTCATTGTGTGTGGCGCCGCCCTCATACTTGTCTCCACTCCACCTCCTTGCTCCCACACCTCCACCTGCTCCCTACACATGCCCCACCCTTCCTGCAGGTAAGGGTTCCTACGGGTCGGTGTACAAGGGGCGAGACCGCATCAGCTCAGAGCTGGTGGCCATTAAAGTCATTTCTCTCGCTGAAGGGGTAAGTGGGAGAGGGCATGCTTAAAGGGCTGGGTGGGAGGGATTTCTATGATTTCTCACACGAAGGGAGTCCTACGTTTCGGGGCGGAAGGGGAGAGATCGCATTAGCTCAGAGCTGGTGGCTATCAAAGTCATTTCTCTGGCTGAAGGTGTAAGTGAAGAGAAGATTATTCCTCGCGAGGAGGGAGAGGAAGAGGAGAAGATTATTCCTCCTTGTGGCCCTCTCCTCTTCCTCTCCCCCCTGCTTTTTTTTACTTTGCCATCCCTCCTCTTCTTCCACTTCCACTCTTTCCTCCTCTTTCCTTCTCTCCACCTCGCCCCTCTTCCTCCTCCCCTTTCTTCTCTTCCCGCCGCTTCCATCCACTTACCCATTATCCTCCTCTTCCTTCCCCTTCCTCCTCTTCCCACCTCTTTGCTCCGCTCACTGTATTGTACCATCAACTCCCCCCATCTCAGGAGGAGGGATTTGAGGAGATAAGGGGAGAGATCGAGATTCTGCAGCAGTGCAACCACCCCAACGTCGTGCACCCTCCTCTCTCTCCCTCCATCCTTATATCACCTTGCTCCTCTCTCCTCCCGTTGTGCCTCTCAGGAGGAGGGCTTTGAGGAGATAAGGGGGGAGATCGAGATGCTGCAGCAGTGCAACCACCCCAACGTCGTGCGCTACCACGGCAGCTACCAGGGCGACGACTTCCTCTGGGTGAGTAGATTCGATTCGATTAGATTTAGCATTATACCGTTGAGTCACACGTTGGTGCAGATACCAGAGAGACGACTGTGGGTGAGTGGATTGACTGTGGTTGCGATGGGGCTCCTCAATAGGAGATGCTGCAGCAGTGCAACCACCCCAACGTCGTGCGCTACCACGGCAGCTACCAGGGCGACGACTTCCTCTGGGTGAGTAGATTCGATTCGATTAGATTTAGCATTATACCGTTGAGTCACACGTTGGTGCAGATACCAGAGAGACGACTGTGGGTGAGTGGATTGACTGTGGTTGCGATGGGGCTCCTCAATAGGAGATGCTGCAGCAGTGCAACCACCCCAACGTCGTGCGCTACCACGGCAGCTACCAGGGCGACGACTTCCTCTGGGTGAGTAGATTCGATCTGATTTGATATGACTCAATTCAAGGTTTTCCTCAGCTGGTGGGTACTATGGGAGCAACCTACCAGGGAGACGACTTCCTCTGGGTGAGTAGATTCGATCTGATTTGATATGACTCAATTCAGGTTTTCCTCAGCTGGTGGGTACTATGGGAGCAACCTACCAGGGAGACGACTTCCTCTGGGTGAGTAGATTCGATCTGATTTGATATGACTCAATTCAGGTTTTCCTCAGCTGATGGTACTATGGGCCCAACCTACCAGGGAGTCGACTTCCTCTGGGTGAAAATGCTGAATCCGATTGGATTTGGTGTCCTGCGATTCCATCTCTTGCAGTAGATATCACAACATTTCGGTTGCATGCGGTGGTGGCAGAGTGGCCGGCTTTAAGAACAATACGGGCTCGCCTCCCCCTTAAAGCCACGTGAAATGAGGGTGTTTTTGAGACGTCTCAAAAACACCCTCATTTCACGTGGCTCCCCCTTAAAGCCTTCCGTTGCCTGCTGCACCATCCCATCCCCACACACCCTGCTCTCCCCACACCCTCCTCCCCCCTCCTGTTCTGCTGAACAGATCGTGATGGAATACTGTGGTGGGGGCAGCGTGGCTGATCTCATGAACAACACGGACTCGCCACTTGAGGAGGGCATGATTGCCTATGTGTGCCGGGAGTCAATCAAGGTGAGTGGGTGGTGGTCAACCATGGTCAATGTCAGTTAAAGCCAGTAGGGTGGGGGCAGTGTGGCTGATCTCATGAACAACACGGACTCGCCACTTGAGGAGGGCATGATTGCCTATGTGTGCCGGGAGTCAATCAAGGTGAGTGGGTGGTGGTCAACCATGGTCAATGTCAGTTAAAGCCAGTAGGGTGGGGGCAGTGTGGCTGATCTCATGAACAACACGGACTCGCCACTTGAGGAGGGCATGATTGCCTATGTGTGCCGGGAGTCAATCAAGGTGAGTGGGTGGCTGGCTGGCGGTCAACCAAAGTCAATGGGAGTCAAATTCAGTAGCAGCCTAGCCGTGAGCTCAACAGCATGGATGGACTCATCGCTTGAGGAGAGCATGTTTGCCACTACTCTCCCACTCCCTTCACCCTTTACCCCCTTTACCTTGAACCTTAGAACCCTGAACCCTAATCTAATCCCCCTTCAGGGCCTGGCCTACCTGCACGAGATAGGCAAGGTGCACCGCGGCATCAAGGCCGGCAACAACATAGTTTTGAGACGTCTCAAAACTAGATAGGCAAGGTGCACCGCGACATCAAGGCCGGCAACAACATCCTGCCCTGCTCAGCGATTAACAGCAGCACACACTGCTGCTGTCTCCCCTCCCCCCTCCCTTCACCCCAAACCCTGAATCTTGAAATACTAAAACCCTGAACCCCCTTTCCTTCAGGGTCTGGCCTACCTGCATGAGATAGGCAAGGTGCATCGGGACATCAAGGGAGGTAACATCCTGCTGAGTGACTCGCAGCGGCACTCACCACCGCTCTCTGCCGTGCCTTAACCCCGAACTTAAACCTTGAGCATCGAAACCCCTGAACCCCCCACGTTCCCAGGGTCTGGCCTACCTGCATGAGATAGGCAAGGTGCATCGGGACATCAAGGGAGGTAACATCCTGCTGAGTGACTCGGGGGAGATCAAGCTGGGTGATTTTGGGGTGGCGGCGCAGCTCACCCGCACCATGTCCAAACGCAACACGGTGAGGAGCGGTTAGGGTGGGGAGAGGTGGGATGAGAAGGGATTTTGTGGGGTAGAGATGGGATGAGAAGGGGTTTTGTGGGGTGGGGTGGGGTGCGTGACTGTGTGGCACAGCTCACCCGCACCGTGTCCAGTCCAAGCGCAACACGGTGAGGTTCAGGGGTGGCATGGTTTTTTGCTGATGGGATGAGAGAGAATGTATCCTCAAACTTTTTCCTTTCTCCATGGCTCTCCAATTCCCCTACACCCCATGCCCCTCCCTCTGCAGTTCATAGGCACGCTTCACTGGATGGCACCTGAGGTGATTCAGGAGAGTCTGTACTTGAGGCACCTACAACAACTTTCACCCATTTCTTCCCCTTAAACCTTTTACTGTTTCTCATCCCCCTCTCTGCAGTTCATAGGCACGCCCCACTGGATGGCACCGGAGGTGATTCAGGAGAGCCTGTACGACGGCAAGGTGGACGTGTGGGCGCTAGGCATCACTGCCATTGAAATGGCCGAGGTACGCCCTAGGCAACACAGGGTTTCCCTGCTTTGTCAGCTTGTCAGGGGCAGCACAGGCAGGTCATGAGGGGCGCACGGCTTGTGGTGCAGTCTGTCTGTACGATGGCAAGGTGGACGTGTGGGCGCTAGGCATCACTGCCATTGAAATGGCCGAGGTACGCCCTAGGCAACACAGGGTTTCCCTGCTTTGTCAGCTTGTCAGGGGCAGCACAGGCAGGTCATGAGGGGCGCACGGCTTGTGGTGCAGTCTGTCTGTACGATGGCAAGGTGGACGTGTGGGCGCTAGGCATCACTGCCATTGAAATGACCGAGGTACGCCCTAGGCAACACAGGGTTTCCCTGCTTTGTCAGCTTGTCAGGGGCAGCACAGGCAGGTCATGAGGGGCGCACGGCTTGTGGTGCAGTCTGTCTGTACGATGGCAAGGTGGACGTGTGGGCGCTAGGCATCACTGCCATTGAAATGGCCGAGGTACGCCCTAGGCAACACAGGGTTTCCCTGCTTTGTCAGCTTGTCAGGGGCAGCACAGGCAGGTCATGAGGGGCGCATGGCTTGTGGTGCAGTCTGTCTGTACGATGGCAAGGTGGACGTGTGGGCGCTAGGCATCACTGCCATTGAGATGGCCGAGGTACGCCTTGCATGTTCAGTAGGCACGATGGCTTGTCACTAACAGCACGGGGTATGTGGGATGCACAGTGCGCTTATGTCTGGTCTGTGGCGGCACAGGGTGTTTGGCAACCACCATTACCCCATGCCATAACCACCTTTCTCCTCCATGCCCTAACCACCTTTCCCCTCCATGCCACCACCACCATTCCCCACCATTCCCCACCATTCCCCACCATTCCCCACCATTCCCCACCATTCCCCACCATTCCCCACCATTCCCCACCATGCCCCACCGTTCCTCTATGTTTTTCCCACCAACCTGCTTGTGTGAGCAGGGGCTACCGCCGTGATCCAACATTCATCCCATGAGAGTGAGTGCCCGCTTGCCATGTGTGCTGCTTCCTGTCCTATTCATCCAGTAAGCCAACCAGTTTGTCATTAAGTGAATCCCTGTTCGCCAAGTCATATTGGCTAGACCATGTTTGCAAGATCTGAAATCGCTTCCCTTCATTGTTTTTCCCAGTGGAGCATATCCCTGTAGGGAGATCTCTTCCACCACTCTCCACCACTCTCCACTTCTCTCCACTACTCTCTGCCCTTCTCCACCCCTCTCCACACCACTATTACAGGTTCTTTTTATGATCTCCAGAGAACCTTCCCCCACATTAGAGGACCCTGAGAAATGGTAACGCCCCTTAACCTTCCCCTCCTCCTGCCCTAGTCTTCTATATTGTCACTTTTGAATGTGTGCATGTGTTTGTGGCGCCTCAAACCGCTTCTCTTCATTGTTTTTCCAAGAAATCGTAACTCTCCTTCTTTAACCTTTTCCTCCTCCTGCCCAGGGCTTCTATGTTGTCCCGTTTGGAAGTGGGGCATTTTTTGGAACAAGTGAAAGAGGGCACATTGTGTAACCCAAAAACCCAGCACTGGTTGAGCCACATCACCACCACCATAATACCACACGCAATTCTTTCCTCCCCCCTGCAGGTCCCTTTTATTCCACGATTTCGTGGCCAAGTGTCTGATCAAGGAGCCCAAGCAGCGCCCCACCACACCTGCTGAACCTCTTTACACCTCATTACACCGCACAGTATCCCCTCCTCTTTCTGCCCGCAGGTCCCTGCTGTTCCACGATTTCGTGGCCAAGTGTCTGATCAAGGAGCCCAAGCAGCGCCCCACCACACCTGCTGAACCTCTTTACACCTCATTACACCGCACAGTATCCCCTCCTCTTTCTGCCCGCAGGTCCCTGCTGTTCCACGATTTCGTGGCCAAGTGTCTGATCAAGGAGCCCAAGCAGCGCCCCACCACACCTGCTGAACCTCTTTACACCTCATTACACCGCACAGTATCCCCTCCTCTTTCTGCCCGCAGGTCCCTGCTGTTCCACGATTTCGTGGCCAAGTGTCTGATCAAGGAGCCCAAGCAGCGCCCCACCACACCTGCTGAACCTCTTTACACCTCATTACACCGCACAGTATCCCCTCCTCTTTCTGCCCGCAGGTCCCTGCTGTTCCACGATTTCGTGGCCAAGTGTCTGATCAAGGAGCCCAAGCAGCGCCCCACCACGCCAGCACTGCTGCAGCACAAGTTCATCGAGCGGTGCAAGGACACTGCCGTGGTGCTCAAGAAGCGGATTGACCAGGCGAAGGCTATGAGGGAGGAGGCGAAGAAACAAAGGTTGGCTGCTGCTGCCCTTGAGGAGCAGAACAGCGTTTCAGAGGATGTGAGTCTGTGGGGTAGCAGGGGGCGTAGGTTTTGGCTTCATGCATAGGGTAAGAAGGCGACAAATGGGTTCATCGAGCGGTGCAAGGACACGGCTGTGGTGCTGAAGAAGCGGATCGACCAGGCCAAGGCGATGAGGGAGGAGGCGAAGAAACAACAGTTAGTGGCCGCTGCATTGGAAGAGCAGAACAGCATTTCAGAGGATGTGAGTAACATAGGGTAACATGCTTTGAGGCTCAGCGGTTCAATTTGTTGGTGCTTGCAAAGGGTGGGGGTTCACAGCAGTGCAGCACAAGTTCATCGAGAGGTGCAAGGACACCACTGTGGTGCTGAAGAAGCAGATTGGCCAGGTCAAAGCGATGCGGAGGAGGCAAAGGAACAGAGATTGGCTGCTGCTGTTTTGGAGGAGCAGAACAGCGTTTCTGAGGATGTGAGTTCTCCTCATGGCCTGCACACACAGGTATGGGTGCATAGAGCAGTGCAGCACAGGTTCACCGAGCGCTGCAAGGGCACCACTGTGGTGCTGAAGAAGAGAAGCAGATTGACCAGGTCAAAGCGATGTGGGAGGAGGCAAAGAAACAGCGGCTAGCGGCCTCAGCTCTGGAGGAGGAGCAGAACAGCGTTTCGGAATATGTGAGTTTTCCGGGGCGGCGAGGGTCTTAGCCCTTGGTTACATGCATAGATTAACATGGTCACAAATGGGTGATCGAGAGGGGCAGTTCTTACTTACACATATGGGGGGGTGACCTCCACTTCTTGCACTCCACCAACCTCTATCCCTCTCCATCCCTCTGCGTCCCCTCTCCACCTCTCCATCGCAGTCCATGGCCACGGGCACGGCGAAGCAGAGGGGCGATACTATGGGCGGGAACCATTCACCTGTCGATACTCATTCTCTCAACCTGCAACCCACCCCTCTCTATCCCACTCTATCCCACTCTTATCTCTCCTGCACCTCCTCCATTGCAGTCCATGGGCACGGGTACAGTGAAGCAGAGGGGGGACGCCATGGGGGGGACTGTGAAGGCTCGCTCTGCTCCCTCCGCCTATGCTGATGACGATGAACCTGGTGGGTACCAGTTGGGGTAGGTGGTGACTGGGGTAGGTGTTGACTGGGGTACGTGGTGACTGGGGTACGTGGTGACTGGGGTACGTGGTGACTGGGGTACGTGGTGACTGGGTTAGGTGTTGACAGGGTAGGTGATGACTGGGGTAGGTGGGACTCTGAAGGCTCGCTCTGCTCCCTCCGCCTATGCTGATGACGATGAACCTGGTGGGTGCTATCTGGGGTAGGTGGGTACAATGGTGGGCAGTTGATCCAAACAGTCTCCACCACACAAGTGGGATGGAAAGATACCCAGAGGACTGTGAAGGCTCGCTCTCCTCCATCCTCCTATGCTGACGACGACACCGGTGGGTGGGTGGGTGCTATGGCGGGCAGTTTATCCAAAAGCCCCCTCCCTCCCGCCCCGAGTGGGTTGATGTTAGGTGGGGTGATGCCCTTCAACCCCTTCCTCTCTTGCCTATGTTGACTTTTGAGGCGCCTCAAAAGGGGTGATGCCCTTCAACCCCTTCCTCTCTTGCCTATGTTGAAATCGCTCCTGAGAATTCTCAAAACAGGCTAGGTGGGGTGATACCTGTCAAATCCCTCCTCTCTTCCCTCCCCCTCCTCCTCCTAACCACCCCCCAATCCCACTCGTTCCAATTTATTTGTGTCAGACTTCCGTGTCAAGTACTCTGAATCTTTTGAGTTCACTCAGAAAACAAGTTTTTGAACAAGGACTCTTCCCAGATTTCGGCACGTTTGTGAACAAGGACTATGAATCTGTTGCCAAGGCGATGGTCACTGGCCCCAATGCTTCACCTCTTTCCTTCCGCTCCCATCCCTGCATTTCCCACTAACCAATACACAGACTTCGGCAGGTTTGTGAACAAGGATTATGAATCCGAGGATGAGGCAATGGACATGACACGAAGAGGCACTGCCATCATGCGCTTTCACCCGTCCTCCCCCCCACCCAGATTTTGGCACGTTTGTGAACAAGGATTCTGAATCCGAGGATGAGGCGATGGACACGGGCACGATGCGCGTCGCCAGGTCAGACGAGCCGTCTGCCAAGTCAGCAGCCGCCACGTCAGCAGCAGAGGGCGTGGAGTCGTCTTCGGATAACATCGGTGCGGCTCTAGCAGCTTTGGGTGGGCAGCGCAAGGCCAAGCCGGCACAGGCCAAGTGAGTGTGGGTTTGTGGTGGTGGTGGTGGTGGTGGTGGTGGTGGTGGTGGTGGTGGTGGTGGTGGTGGTGGCGGTGGCGGTGGCGGTGGCGGTGGCGGTGGCGGTGGCGGTGGCGGTGGCGGTGGCGGTGGCGGTGGCGGTGGCGGTGGCGGTGGCGGTGGCGGTGGCGGTGGCGGTGGCGGTGGCGGCCGCTCCATTCCTCCTCTCCATTCCATACTACCCTTCCTCCCAGGTCCGCTCCCTCTCGCAGGGCAGAGCGGCCACCAGTGCCCCCGAAGCAAGCAGCAGCAACGGGCATGGAGCTGGAAGCGAAGAGGAGGAAGGGCACGGATTCCTTTGCGGGGATACGTTAACTTGTGTATCGCCGTTGCTCCCGTTCCCTCCCAGATCTGCCCCATCTTGCCGTTCCAAGCCACCAACAGTGCCGCCAAAGCAAGCAGCAGCAGCGGGAATGGAGCTAGAAGCCAAGAAGGGGAAGGGCATAGATTTGTTTACTGTGTGGGTGGGAATGTCTCAGTCAATGCTTTCCCTTCCCTCCCCTCCCCCACCTTCCCTCCTAGGTCCGCCCCATCTCGCAGGGCAGAGCGGCCACCAGTGCCGCCAAAGCAAGCAGCAGCAGCGGGCATGGAATTAGAAGCAAAGAGGAGGAAAGGCACGGATTTCTTTGCGGGGGCGAGACAGGCTATGGAGGATGGGACGAGGCACACCATTGCTGATAGCACCAGGCCTGCTCAGAGGGCCAGCCCTGGGCTGCAGGATAAGGTGGGCTTGGGGACACTTGAAACAGTTTAACATGTAACTTGTGTGTGCTGCCTCAGCATCCATATTAGATGGGACGAGGTAGGCCATTGCTGATAGCACTAGACCCGCTCAGAGGGCCAGCCCTGGGTTGCAGGATAAGGTGGGCTTGGGGACACTTGAAACAGTTTAACATGTAACTTGTGTGTGCTGCCTCAGCATCCATATTAGATGGGACGAGGTAGGCCATTGCTGATAGCACCAGGCCTGCTCAGAGGGCCAGCCCTGGGCTGCAGAATAAGGTGGGCTTGGTCCACTTGAAGCAGTTCGGTCGCTCCAAGGGGAATGTGGGAGAGAGTGGAGAGTAAGGTGAGAAAGAGTGTAGGCAAAGGTGAGAAAAGGCAAAGGTGAGAAAGAGTGTAGGCAAAGGGGAGGGAGGGTGCAGGCCCAGGGTAAGGTTTGTGGTTGCATTTTTTTAGGCGCCTCAACAGCGCGGTGCTCGTTTCGACCCTCATCTTCCCCTCCTTCCCCTTCTTTTCCCTTTATCCCCTCCCTTTTCAATTCCCCAGCTATCAGCGGTGTATGCAGCGGGCAACACGGTCCCCATCCCCTTCCTCCGAGCATGCGACATCTCTCCTCTCTCCCTCATCGCCTCATCAGGCCCCGACGGGGCTCCCTTTGACCAGTGCGGGCTGGAGGCGATTCAGGAGCTGTCAGGGAGTGGAGGACTGGCGGGAAGCAAGGGCGCCAGACGAACCCCCGCTGCTGAGGTGAGGAAAAGCAGGTCTCTTGGTCCCCGCACTTGGTTTTTATCCAAGCACTCTGGGGGGCTCGAGTCCCGACGGGGCTCCCTTTGGCCAGTGCGGGCTGGAGGCGATTCAGGAGCTCTCGGGGAGCGGTGGGCTGGCGGGCAGCAAGGGCGCCAGGCGAACCCCCGCTGCTGAGGTGAGGCAGATCAGGATCCCTAGTCCCTGTACTGGGTTCTGCTGCTGCTAGAAGTATGGTTGGGGGGTTATGAGTCCCGACGCGGCTCCCTTTGACCAATGCGGGCTGGAGGCGATTCAGGAGCTGTCAGGGAATGGTGGGCTGGCAAAAAGCAAATTTACGTCCCATTCCCAATACACGCTTTTCCCACTACACCCCATTCCTACGACACCCCATTCACAATACCCCATTCCCACTACACCCCATTCCCATTACACCCCGTTCCCACTACACTCCATTTCCATTACACCCCATTTCCGTTACGCCCCGTTCCCACTACGCCCCGACCACGCTCCATTACCAATACAGCTCCCCCCACTCCCAAGGAAGTAAGTCTGAGAGTAGTCAACAGCACTTTCTTTCCAGAGTGTCTCTTCCAATCTCCTCCCATTTCCACTACACCCGACCCGATTCCCGCCACACCCCATTTCCGCTACACCCCATTCCCACTGCAGGTTCCACTACCCCCCAGTGTGTACCGCACACTATCAAACTGTGGCTTTAATCCGAAATGCCTCCTCCAACCCTGCACCCCATTCCCGCTACACCCCGATCCCACTACAGGTCCCACTGCCCCCCAGTGTATACCGCAGACTAGCCAACAGCACCACCCTCCCCAATCTCGCCCGAGCGCTGGCGTACCATAAACAGTATGTGATGCTCCTCATAACAAGTATAAAATATGGTACCATAGATCGTACATCATTATGCGTCATTGCTTGTTTTTCTTTGAATATTTGGGTTTGGGCTCCTTGATTCTACTTTTATTCTCTGTGTGCACAACACAACACATTCCAGGCACTCATCATGCCATGGACTGCTGTTAGTTTACCACCCAGAGAGTGTTCGCCCGTTGTTGCCAACCGTAGCCACCCTTTGCCGCCCTCTCTTTGGCCCCTCTGTCTGTCCCCCATATAAGGTGTTTGGACGAGATGCCTCTACAAGGATGGCAAGTAACACAAGAGAAAGCCATTATACACAACCTATCCGACACCATACGGACCATTCTCCGCCTCTAGTTCATCTTCAGCATTTACCGCAATGGTGGAATTTAACGCCTAACGCGTTGGAGGCACCTCAAAATGTATTGTGTAACCCCAATACTAGTATATGTAAAATTTTTAAATACAATTTTCAAAATTTAAAGATTATGACAAGACTTGTAAAGGATTATGCAGTAAGGAGTCATCTGCTCCTTATCTCGTGGCAGGTCCACATACCTGCCACCTAGTCGAATCATTTCTAGATCTGAATCTAGAACAGCACACCTAGGGAACTTTTCCACCCTCCTAGACTAACTCGCCCGCCATTGCTGCTACCTCGTACATGACGAGAACTTCGTACATGCTGCTTCTACGAATGAAGCGATATCTGCTGGAAGTTTCTGCAATTGCAAGTACAAAAATCGTTTTTTGTATGGCAAAATCATAATATACACTGCTGATACATCTACGTGCAACATACTGCGCGGAACATATTGCCGCTGCTTCTACCAGTGGCGATCTTCCTCGATACTGCTGCATAGGAGGTGTTCGTTTCGGCGGCTGCGGTCGTTGCGACCTCTTGGAGCTGGCGATGCTGCTGCAGCGACTATGACTGCTGCTGCTGCCGGGACGGTTGCTGCTGCTATGAGACGAGCCGCTGCTGCTTACGCTGCGCATGGCGAGACAACGGCTGCTGCTGTTGCGGTTGGAACAAACTCACGGTGGCATGTGGCAAGACCGCTGCAGTTGCGGGTGTCCTATCGCTACTGCTATCCTGTTATCTGCTGCTGATGCATGATCGCTACTGCTGCTGCGCACGAATCTTGCTGGAGCTGCGAGATCGCCGCTGCTGCTGCTGCTGTGCGATCAATGTTGCCGCTGCTGTGCGCTGTTGCTGCTACTGTGCGATTGCTGCTGCTGCTACTTCGCGATCGCTGCTGCTGTGCGATCGCCGCTGCTGTGCGATCGCTGCTGCTGCTGCTGCTGCCGCGCAATCGCTGCTGCTCCTGCTTCGCGATCGCTGCTGCTGTGCGATCGCTGCTGCTGTGCGATCGCCACTGCTGTGCGATCGCTGCTGCTGCGGCTGCCGCGCGATCGCTGTTCCTGTGCGGTCGCTTCTGCTGCTGCGCGATCGCTTCTGCTACGGCTGCCCGATCGCCGCTGCTACTTCGCGTTCGCTGCAGCTACTCCGTGATTGCTGCTGCTGGGCACGATCTGCGCTGCTGGCGCGCGATCGCCTTTGCTGGCCTGCGATCGCCATTGCTGGTGCACGATCGCCGCTGCTAGCGTGCGGTCGCTGCTGCTGCCTCAATAGCGCATCTGCTGTGGCGTGATTTGCTGGTGCTATCGAGATCGAGATGGTGCTGCTCTGCCTGACGACACAGCAGCTACCACAGCTATGAGGGACGAGAAGTTGCCCTCGCTGCTATGTGCAAACTGAAATTGCAGTTACTGGTGTAACTCTTGATTTGGTGTTAAAAGATTGTGGTGGCCTATAAGATTATGGCCTTAAAAAAAAAAAAAAAAAAAAAGACAAGGCCCAAAGAAGATTATGATTCAGTGTAAGGGCCAGAGCATGACACTTGCAGTATTGTGTCGTGCAGCATAAGAGGCCGTCCGCGTGCATCATTATGTCTGAATTAATATGCGGTATGCCGGATTTGTACGCCTCATAATAATTAGTAGCGCGTTCTTCCCCTATTATGGGATGTGAAGCACTTAACACGCTTCTACCGTACCTTCTATTGGGACGCACACCCGTTTCAATTACGGCGATGGATTTTTCTGCTGGCTAAATCGCAAACTTGCAATGGTTGGACAATAGTGTCGACTTTGTTGTCGAGCATATGCGTACTTACGCTGAAAACTGGTGATATCACCGTGCATCCAAAAAAGAAAAGAAAGAAAAAAAAAAAAAAAAAAAAAAAAAAGGGGGGGGGGGGGGGGGTACGGGTACCCTGAGGGCCGTGATAATGAGGCATTTCCAAAGTAATTTTGCCATCTACGGTACCATATCTCTCAATTATTCGGCGCCTTAATGCAGAAATTGCCAAAACTACGTGGTCGAGTTCAATTCAACCCTTGCTGCCATTTCAACATTATGATGTGTTTTTCCGTAAATGGTAACACTCCCTTCCTAAGCTATCGCTCGGACGTACCACCACTCCTCATAATTATGGCGCTGAAGTGATTCGGCTGACTGTGACGCAAACGCGCACATCGTTTACGCAATTGTCGAGTACTTGTTGTCATTCAGTTGGCGCTATACAGAAAGTTGTCGACTCCAAAAAAAAAAAAAAAAAAAAAACTATTCTCATCGCCTTGAGACCTATCGTAAACACTTTCAACGTTTTTATGTTCAATCCCTGATTTTCAGCGTTCGGTTTTAGCAAGGTCTGCATTTCGGAGCAATTTCCAGTATACGACATAGTCTTTCGCGGTATGACAAGCCATGCCAGCGTCTTGGTGTGACCATATCCATGTGCTAATTGAAGGCTCTTGTTGGGAGCCACAAGCCGTTTTTTTTTACAGCACGCTTGGATACATGCACAAGGATCCTCTTACATTCACATATCATACATGAACATTCATTGTAGAAAAACCCACCAGGACATGAAAGTTCATGTGGATAGCGCACACGTACTTGATTTCTTCGGACTCGTTGTGACGTGTATACCCCATTTGGATTGACCATTTCACAGCCCCTCACCTTGAAGTCTTTCGTCTTTTTATGAAGTCACACCACCAAAAGGGGAAGGATATCGATCTGGCGTGCGATCTGTCAACATCATTGCACTTTTGTTAACACAAACTCGTGTCTTGAGCATGCACGTTACGAGCATAATGCTGGAGGATGGATTGGAAATATTTGGTTGGTTGTCGCTTCTATGCGCACATCTAACCTTATAGCTGATGTGATTCGGACCTTTTGGTCTATACAAAAGGTGGATCTCGTCGAGAGGCGGGTTGCTTGCCCTCACACACCCACTTCACTGATGATATTCCATGTCGTAATGGCTCACGTTTCATAAAATTTCCCATATCGTATAGCATGGTTTTTCCATTGCGTACTAACCGTTGGTTCCCCTTTACATGGCTCCTGCATCTATTGAACCTTGAACACATGGTGCTACCGTATTTACAGAGGCGCTAAATTCGATACTGCATGTTTTGCTGTTAATTGACAACGAATGCCCTATCAAGGGCACCGGATTGTAAGCTGGTTACACAAGCTGTATGCATTGTACACATTGGAAATGCGTCAAAGTTTGGTATGTGCTTCACAACTCCTTTGCAGCAACATGCCACTAGTCTTCAGCCTTAATACTCGAGGCAACATCGTTTGCATACCATGCAACCAGTGCATCAACATGTTAACGTGAGCAATACGTCATCGACCGTGATCTACGGTAAATACGACTTAGTCATGTAGTCATGCTGCGAAAGGCCCGCCCTACATCGAAGTGACGTGATGTTATTGCACAATGTTGACATTATGCTCAATTCAACAACTATGGTTAGCTACCATAACTTCCCGACTTCATCACTTACGTGCTCGGTCGTCGGATGAACGACTAACATCCTCGAACGACTGCCAAAGGGTTTTATTTAGGTTCTCTTACGAGATGGATGGCGCCTCATCGCTACTGACGATTTCTTGCGACAATCACTGTGCAACTTATTGCTCACTCGATTCTTACGCGCATCTGATACTTCTTTCATTGTTCTCTTCTTGGGAACCTCCCCCACAATAGTAGGTGAGGGTATATAGTTCCTCCATTCCATTCCGTCCTTCCCTACTAAGGTAAAACCCTGAGTTCTAGAGCCTTGCTCCCGACGCACCTAATGTCTCTTATCTCCTATGACGACTGCTCTGCAGACTCCGAGTCTTGTCTTAATATGTAAAATTCTTAAATACAATTTTCAAAATTTAAAGATTATGACAAGACTTGTAAAGGATTATGCAGTAAGGAGTCATCTGCTCCTTATCTCGTGGCAGGTCCACAGACCTGCCACCTAGTCGAATCATTTCTAGATCTGAATCTAGAACCCACCCTCCCGCCCTTACGCTAGTTAGTAGCCTCGTTAGTCTCGTATCTATACCAGTGGTAGTTATTTTCGTCTCGTTATATCCTCATTATCTTTGTAATTTGCAATCTAGTGTGCTGTATGATTGAGATCTGAAATATGACGACTGCTCTGCAGACTCCTTGGAGAGTCTTGTCTTAATTTGCTTTTTAGCGCCTTTGTTTGTTACTCCATGTCGATTTAAAATTAAGCCGTCGTCAACTGTGATGAAGAGCTGGTTGAACGGGAAAAAACAATTACGGTATTTATTCTGTATGTGAGTATGCATGGTCAGAATCTGGCCTACCGTAGTAGTAGCAAAACTATGTTTGCAACTTGGCCTCTGCATTGCAACAGATCAACACTCATATATACTTCATAGCTCCTAAACTGAACCCAACGCTGGCATCCTTGGGGGTCATACCGGAATAACTAATTCCCTTACTCTAGTCAAACATACAGCACTTCTGGTGAATGTCCTCGCCCTACCTGCACCAGCACATACGGTATTCTCCCATGAGAAACAGCTCTTTCAGGTGAAACACTGAAGCCTCTCTCCTCCCCATCTCAAACACAAGCCCCCAAGACCTAGTCAAACACACCATAGAAGCAAGAGTCTAGGCTAGACATAAGCCACTTCTGGTAAATGCCCTCTTCTCAGCTGCGCCAGCACATGTTCCCCCGTGCGAAACAGCTCTCTCAAGTTATTCACCGAAGCCTCGCTCCTGCCCATCTCAAACAGCATCCTCACATCCCTCCTCCTGCTCTCTGCTGCCGCCCAGCTCATTCCCCCGGGTCGTTTGCCGATCTCTCTTAGGAGGTTGCGGTAGAGGGAGAGAGCACGGGGGCGGTTCATGAGGTACTGTTGTGGTGTTAACCATAACGGGACCATCTGTAAAGGGGATG